ATATTTTATATACTATTTTTATATTTTATATACTATTATATATATTATTATATATATAATATATATTATATATATTATATAATAATATATATTATATTATTATAATTATATTATATAAATATATATATTTATATTTTATATATATATTTATTATCTTCAACACCAACAAGTGTCCAGCTCACCACCTCTCCTGCCCCTGGATTTCAAGCATATATTTTCTTCATTTAAAAAGGACATATTTTGTTATAAACTTGCTAAAAAACTGTATGAAAACCAACTTCTTTTTCAGCATTGAACCTTTACCATTGTGTTCAGTGAAACACACTGTGCTACTAAAACACATGAAAGACAGATCTCAGTTCTAAAGATACACATTTATAGAAGGAGAGAATGGACAACAGATTACACCCACAGTGCAGAAGGATGCTACGACTGCAGCGTATGGTAAAATACCTCCACAAAAATTTCACAGTGCTATTAGTCTGGAAATGACCAACAAAACCAAAACTGGGATTCTTGCATAGCATCTTCATCAAAAGGCTGTCATGAAATTGTGCTACAGAGAAATACAGTGAAATGTTGAAACATTTGAGTAATAAGCAGAACTGCAACAGCTCAAAACCAAACTGTTTTCTTATCACACTTTCCAAAATTTTTCTCCTTTTTCACCTTTTGGCAGGGGGAGTGGGGGTGTTGATTATCTTTTCATTTCCCTTACCAGTTGCCAAGCCTATTTAACAACAACAAAATAAAAAGGATAAGCCAATAAGGTACGTAAGGTCTTATGAAAACACCTCTGCATCCACACAGAGTCAGCAGGCTGCAAAAATATTACGGATGAAATACTTGCATCACCAGCTGGCCAAAACCTTAAAGGAACCTATTACAAGCCTTACCAGCGTACAGCTGGGCAAAGAAAGCATCTTCTGCTCAGCAGAATGACTGCAGTGAACCAATAGAAACCTATCAGATGCCACAGCCTCAGACGTCACCTGATGATGCTCTTCTGCTCAGAAGGAAGGGGGGCAAGTAATAAATAACTGACAACTGTGCATCTGCAGAAATACATGTGCCTGCAAAGTAACTGCATCCTTATTAGGATCCCCAATTTTTAACCCTTACTTCTTCAGTTGCATTACTGTGCTTACAACCAGACATCATCCTCTCTGGCTGAAAAACTAGTTTCACTTCAGAAAGTTATTTGACTAGATGACCCATTGGTTAATGTAAATACGTACGTTTTCTATGCCACTAAAAATAATCCATTTTGCCTGAAAGCTGCACCTGACATTACAACTGAAAAATACGTGCCAGCTAATTCCACTTAGGCACAAAACCCATTACTGCCTTCCTGCCGTTACACCTCCCCTGACAGAGACTTTTAATCAAAGTGAATTTACTTAGCGATTCCATTTGGTCTGGCACCCTAATTTCCTGCAAGAAAGTGCTCTGTGCATTTTTTTCTAGAAGGCCATCACCACTGCTTTAAGTGACCAAAACAAGGCAACCCACTCTCCACAACATGTCTGCCAACAGACAGCCACGGAGAGGGGAGAACTCATCTGTCCATCTCAAATGCACACTGCCCTTTTCAGAAAACTGTCCTTGCACATTGCCCCATATAAGCAACTCTCACTCAGTTTAGAAGGTATCAGGTGTCAAAAGAGAATGGGGCTGGGCTTTTTGGTGGCACCCAGTGACAGGACAAGGGGCAACGGGCACAAATTGGAACAGAGAAAGTTGCATGTGAATGAGAGGAAAATCTTCTTTACCGTGAGGGTGACAGAGCACTGGAGCAGGCTGCCCAGAGAGGCTGTAGAGTTTCCTGTGGAGGTATTCAGGACCTGCTTGGATGTTTTCCTGCGTGACCTGCAGTAAGGCTCCTGCTTCATTCAGCAGGGGCATCATCTCCAGAGGTTCCTTTCAAACCCTCTGTTTCGGTATTTTATCAGAAAATAAAATACGTTACTGGATATCAAATTAGAACATCTAGAAGGATAAGGGAGACAGTCTAAGGACAGTGTTTAGGTTTTTTTTAATCCTCTATGATATCTATTACAGCAGAGTGCCAGCATATAAGAGGAAGATGGCTTCCAGTGCAAATTTGTTCCCACCTTTTACACTGGTAAAGAAATTTGAGTAGTCCCTCTTATGGTAATTGTTAGGAAATCATTTACGCACTGAAAGTAATATATTTAAAGTAACATCTGATAGCAGCAGGGAGCTGCAGATCACATTCAAACAAATCAATTTGGTTCTCCAGCACAAGAAGACCGGATCACCATTAAATGTCTCACCCCACCTGCTGAAGAGTTAGCATCACATTGCAGTGGTCATCCCTCTCCCTCCAGCTCTACCAAGAGCAATTACATGCAACATCTAAGGACAGCTCACCACTACCAAGGAAACAGTGATTGTCACAACGCAACAGAACGTTAAGGCCAGTGAGCAATAACCAAATATTTATAAATAACACTGATTTCTATTAAATCCTGCTTTTCCAAATATAACCAGAATAAAGCACAACAATTCTGTAGTGTACCAAGTGTATATTTCAATTTACTGTATGCAGTCTAACAACAAATTTGGTCATAATTTACCAGATATACATAAATGATTTAAGTAGTAAAAGAAGATTCAGTTCCAAGAGAATAAGTTCATACCTCGAGGAAAAAATAAACAAACAAAAAAATCAACAGAAAAAGGAAGATACATTGAGAATGTAGAGCCAGGTCCAGTTTCTAAGCATTAAGTGAGCAGTATTCTAATAAAGCAGATTTAGGTGAATTTCAGATATATATATATATATTTATATATATAGACAGATCTACCAATTGTAAACTATGGTTTTAAAGGGGATAAATGGGATGGAAAAATCTTTATGCTATACTTACATATTCACAAAGCAGAACATTACTTTAACGTTTAAAATACTTTTTCATTCATATCATCTTTGCCCAACTAATTTCTACTTTGGACCCCACCAGAATTACACATTACTTGTTTCAGTATAGAACAATGAGAATAAAGATGTACTCTTCAGTGTAAAAAAAA